CTCTCTCTCTCTCTCTCTCTCTCTCTCTCTCTCTCTCTCTCTCTCTCGCTCTCTCTCTCTCTCTCTCTCTCTCATCTGTCTGTCCAGGATGTTTGCACCAGTCAAAACCACCTGGGAGTCTTCCCCGTGGGCCACAAAGTAGAGAGATTTCAGTCTCCTGCTTCTCCTGGGAGGTGAAAGAAGGGTAATATAAAATGTTTCATCCGCTGGATAGAGGGACTCTCATTCCTTCTAAAGATTCAGATTCAGTGATATTCGAAAAGATACGATGGTCCTTTGCAGACGGTTTAAAACTTAAAAGGTCCTGCTCCCTCCTTCCCTGAGCCCTATCTTACAAACTTCTCAGTGTGAGGTGGTTCAGGCATCCACAGAAGGGTCTCTAGGTGTGAGGGAACACAGCGTGTCAGCTGCTCCTCTGCTTTCCAGGGTGACAAGCTCCCTCCTCCTCCCCCACTTGCTTTCTCCCTCCCTCCCTCCCTCTTATGGGGAGGCTCCTGGCTCTTGGCCTAAGTCCCTGAGCCCAGCCGAGTGCAGGCAGAGGACTGACCTACACAGGAGTGAAGTCTCATCTCCCTTGAGCCCGGAGCCGCAAGCTTTTCAGAGTCTCTGCTCGCCATGAGCCGACAGCCAGAACCCCAGGCTGCGCGAACGATGCGCTCCTCGTCCCTTCCAGTGTCCCCGACTTTGCCCATGTCTCAGTATGCTTCCCGCTCAGACTCTAAGGGAGCTTTGGACAGCAGCAGCCCGGAAGCCTACACAGAAGATGACAAGACCGAGGAGGACATGCCTGCCCCCAATAACTATCTGTGGCTCACCATTTTCTCGTGTTTCTGCCCAGCGTACCCGATCAACATTGTGGCTTTAGTCTTCTCTGTCATGGTGAGTGGGGATGGGACCAAAAGCAGTTGCAAAGGAGAGATCCGGGCTGCGCTGCCTCTCGTCACCCTATGTGCTAGGTTTGGAGGTCCAGACCTCCTCTCCATGCTTTGCCCAGGACCATCAGCACTCAGCTGCACAGCGCTAACACCAGACCAACTTTGCGCTTCTTTGCTCCGAACGCTCCCACTCCAAGTTCACTGGACTTTGCAGCTTCTCCTAGTCCCACTGCTTTCCTAGGACCTCAACGTGCTCGCACTGGCAAACCACAGTACACCCTCATGCTCTGAGCCTGCAGACTCTGTGTCCCGCTGTACCCCGCAAATGGCCACACTGGGTGCCCCTGCCCTCCAGTGCCTAAAGCTGCCTCTATGTTCGCAAGTTCTTTCTCTCCAGCTGGGCACTGCCTCTGTCACTCTTGGAGGAGCCTCAGGAGATTCCAGCTCCTCCCTGGGCTTACCCACCCCTCCACCCCACCCCCCAGCATGTTTTCCCGAGGATCAAAGTTTCTTCCTGTTTCTTGCTATGCCCAGCACCCCCTACCTTGGCTTCCTCTGGCACCAGCACTCTGCAGGCTATCACACAGGACACCTCCGTCAAACTTTCTTGATTGCACCCTGTGCTTCTTTCAAAAGGGATAAAGCCTACTTGCTCTCTCCCTCAGTTTGTTCTACTCTGTCCCCCACTTTGTTGCACACGGACCTAGTCCGGCTTTCCCAAGAGCCCCTCTACCACTCGTCTACCCCTGGGTCTCCAGTCAGTTCATTCTGGGATTCCTCTATGGCATTATGCCCTGGCACTATGCTCTGGTGCCCTCTTCAATGCTCCCAGGAACGAGATTCTCTCTTATTGACTGGAGCAGCTGGCCACGCCATGGTGGCAGGGTGAAATTCACACAGACACTGCCCTGGGACAACCCTAGCAGTTTGCAGAAGTCCTGTGCTCCCTCCCCCAAGGCCCACCTCTCCTGAAGCTAGCTAATGCAGTTTCCACCAAAGACAGGTCTCCTTCAAATGGGCTAAGGTTCCAAAGCCTGCAAGTACTGCCCACCCACACTGGTAAAAACCTCTCCTGGGTCCAGCAGAGATTCCCTTTGCACCCACTCACTGCTATTCCCCAAACCTGGTTGTCTGCACCGGCATGCAAGTGCACAACCCCTGGTTCAAATCCCAGTCCTATCGCTTGGGAGTCCTATGGTGTCCAGAAATCTGCACAAATCTCTGAACCTAGGTTTTCTTTGTATAATGGGAATTGTCATGGCTATATTTCTAGGAGATTGTAAATACTAATGAGATAACTGTGGTGTGCCTAGAATGATGGCCAGCATTGTAGTAGTAGTAATAATAACAATAATGATATAGTAATAATTTCTGTGTTCAAATGTCACTTCATGAAACCTGTTTAAAAGTTCAAAACCACCGGGCGGTGGTGGCGCATACCTTTAATCCCAGCACTTGGGAGGCAGAGGCAGGCGGATTTCTGAGTTCAAGAGTTCGAGGCTAGCCTGGTCTACAGAGTGAGTTCCAGGACAGCCAGGGCTACACAGAGAAACCCTGTCTCGAAAAACCAAACAAACAAAACAAAAACTTTTTAAACCGAAGCCTTTTCCAAGCTCTTCCTTGTTGCTTTCAGTGCAACATACTTCAAAGACTTTTAAGTTTTTATTTGGGGGAGTACCAACAGCCAAGGAGGGGAGGTCAGAAGAAAACTCTATAGAGTGGCTTCTCTGTCACCTTTATGCAAGTTCCCAGATCTTGAGTCACCAGACTTGCACAGAAGGTGGCTTTGCTGGCCGGGCTATCCCGTTATATTTTTTAATATGTTCGTTATCTCTGCCCCCTCGTTACACAGACTGCAGGCTCTCTGAGGACAGGGATATTCACTGTGTTTATTATCGAGTGCTGTGGAAGCAGCCACGAGAGACTCAGACACGTGGATAACCTTAGGAAATATCACGAAATGAATGCATGCGTGAAGGAAGGGTTGATGGCTTCACCTGTCCGTTTAACTCCTGTTTCAAAGTCCCGGAAGCTGGAGTTCCTCGTACCAGTTTCCGGAAGACCAACCAGCAGACTTGGACACTTCCTTCCTCTGATCCTGGGTTTGTTTTTATTTTCGGAGAGACTAGAGGAGTTGTGGGCTGCCCGACTCTCCTGGCAGCAGAGTCTCAAGCTGGCACTGGCCCCCACATTCCATTCCCTTTATTCATGAAGCAGTTAATTTATCCTTTTCCCAGCGCCACTTAGGAAAAAGCAATTCCGAAGGCTTTCCCTCTCACTGGTCCCAAATCAGTCACCACTCCAGCTGGTGGTGACACAGTGTGGGGTGTCTAGGAGGATGGGGCTTTTGGTGGGAAGTCCCTCTACCTAATCCCCTCGTCCCCCAAGCTTTTCTCAGTGACTTTATAGCATGACTCCGTCTGACTGTCAGACACAGAAAGCTTTGGTTGCTCATCTGAAGAACGGGGGAAGGGATGTTGGGACACCTTGCTGTTGTTTGCTTCGGTTTGGGGTTTTAACTTTAGTCTTATTATTTGTTTGTGTGTGTGCGCGTGTGTGGGTGCCTGTGAGTAGAAGAGCTCACACTCCAGCTTGTATATAGAGGTCAGAGGACATCTGTGGTGCTGCTTCCTTCCGTCCACTTTTCCATGGGTTCTGGGGATTGAACTCAGGTCTTCAGGCTTATGCGACAATCGCCTTACCCACTGAGCCATCTTGACAGCTCCGTTTCTTTTCTCGTTGTTTTTGTTTGTTTTGGAGCTCGGGGTTTGTTGGTAGCTATGCTGGTGTTGGTGATGTTTTGAGGCAGAGTTTCCCTTTATACTCCAGGCTAGTTTTGAACTTACAACCCTCCTGCCTTGACCTCTTGAGTTGCTGTGTTGACAGGTCCGTGCCGTTGTACCTGGTATGTGTACATTAACACTGAGTAGTACAAAATATGTCATGCCAATCATGCTGAGCCTGCAGCATGTGCAACAAGCATTACACAGATGGGTCGACTTGGTATCTGGAGACATCGTCTGTTACATATGGAAACAGACGGAATACAGAAACAATTGAAGCCAAATTGTAAACAGCGCCTCCTGAACACTTGCTGTTGCTCGCTCTCTAAAACACTGGAAGTAGCTTCTAATTCAAGTGGTGTAAACAGGGGCTTGATACATTTCGCTACATTTCCCGACAATGATTCCAAAGGGCAGAGAGGAAGAAAGGCAGAGGAAAGGTGACAGTCCTGAGTATGTTAGTCGTTGAAAAGAGACGGGGGAATTTTATTTACTCCAAGGTCAACGGTCCATATCTAGCAACGTAATGCCTTCTGGTGGGCATGATATCATGAGAGTAAAGAAGACCCAGACAGACTGTCTTCTGAGTAGATCCACTCTCACGAATCCTCATTAACACATGAGTCTTTGATCCTATGACTAGATTCATCCACTCATGAGGGTAACATCCTGGTTACCTTCTAAAAGCACAGTCTCCTGATAGCTCATAATGGGGACTGAATTTGAACATGGGATTCCATGAGCCACCCATTGTATTCAAACTGTCATTCTCCCATTCTGCTCCAGATGCACAAGGGTTAGGGTGGCTTGTGATGTCCTGTCCTGTCTTGGCTGTGTTCTAATCTCACTCATCTATAAATTCATGACAATTCAGCTATAGGTTTGGGGGTCTTTTTTGGGCATTGCACAGTCCCCATAAAGACATTTGGGACTGTTGGAGGGCATCTATAAGGACCACAGTGATTTGGGGATCTACTGGTGTTGATAAAAAGAACCCAAATGCAAATGCCCAGCAACACTTAAAGTTTTCTCCCCGTGAACTGACGTATCCCAAGCACCAATAGCATCCTGCTGGTTTGCTTTCTGTTTATGTGATAAAAACGTTCTGACCAAAGGCAACGTGGGGGGAAAGGGTTGATTTCAGTTTATAATTTACGGTCCTCCTCCAAAAACTGCATGGTCAAGTTTGCCACAGCGTCATCCCTGTCGCTGTGATAAAACACCCTGATCAAAAAGGATTTATTTGGCTTTGATTTCCACATCATGATCTATCATTGAGTAGAGACAGGGCAGAAACTCAAGGTAGGATCCATGGAGAGATGCTGCTTGGTGACCCTCACTGGTTCATGTTCAGCAAGCTTTCCTACATAGCATAAGCCCTGCTTGGGGATGATGACACCCACAAAAGGCTGGGCCCTCCTACATCAAATAACAAGACAGTTCCTCACAGACACACCCACAGGCCAAATGGATCTAAGTAGTTCCGAAGTGGAGAGACTCTATCCAATGACTCTGTGTGTTAAGTTGACCACCAATGTTGATGGAATAATAATATGCCCTATAGTGGAAGTTGGTATAAACGTATCTATATGCTGAAAATAACAGCCAGTTCCCAAAATGGTTAACAAAATAGTGAGCAATCTCAAAACAAACAGTGCCTATGTCACAAAGCTACGCCCGAGGAGCGTTCTAGAACATAGAACTGCATGCTGGGGTAGTACTTGAGAATAAAACGACGTTGAAAAATACAGAAGAGCGTCCAAGCTGTGGGGGAATCTGTGTTTTTTCTGATATCCATATGGAAACAGGGAGTCCTGGGTTAATGATGCAGTACCCCACAGGTAAGTCACAGGGCAATAACAACACTGTGGAAGGGCTTAGCATGACCTGTGGCTGGAGCATGGAAATTCTCAGTCCAATGGAAAAAGGATATTTAACCTGTATTCAACTTGGAGGGTTTTGTACTGTGTGACTTTTCATAGGGTGACAAGAACAAATGTCTGCTTTTCCCAGACAGACAAAAGAGATAATTCCACCCAGGGCTAGCTCAGTGAATCAGTTAGTTTATTTGGGGTTATTTACAGGAGTAAGGGGAGGAGTTACAGGAGTAAGGGGAGGAGTTACTCACAGGAGTAAGGGGAGGAGTTACTAACAGGAGTAAGGGGAGGAGTTACTATCAGGAGTAAGGGGAGGAGTTACTCACAGGAGTAAGGACAGGATT